TAAAACATTTGTTCACCGATAAAAATGTAAACTTTGGACTACTGGAACTGTTGTCTTTTATTTCTAGCAATTTTTTCGCCAAAAAATGAAAAAACGATAAGATAGAAAACTATGAGAATTGCACAAAAACTATGATGCAAAGTGTTTTTGCAAGATACATCATTTTTATAATATTGAAAATGGAGTTCAGATGATGAGGCCAGTGTGTGCATGCGTATTTTCTTATTATTCAGTAGCGCTTCGATAGATGTATAAAAAGTAATTTTTTGTTTACTTTCATGATTAACTACTTTGTTTATTTTAAATCTGTTTATGCTCTGTGTATGTGTTTGTTAACAGTACGCCAGCAATTTTGCTGAATTCTTGCCCATAAATCACCTTGAAGACAGTCTTGACTTTAATTAGGGAACCACTGAAAACCATGGGAGAATAGATACATGTTTCATCCCAAACTGTGGTCTATAGTCAATGAATTTGTCTCGTGAACTTGATACTATGGACAAGACGGTCGTAGTACGTTTATGAGTGAACATTGGGATTGGTTACTGAAATACACGTTTACATGAACTGGATACGTCTAACTGACGAAACTCACAAACCAAATTAGTATTTTAAAGTAGTTACTCTATGTGGAAGTCTACATAGAATGTCACCGTATCCTTTATTTTTATCTGTTTCGTGTTTTACAGTATAAAATGATTTCGTTTTAGTAACTGAGGTAGAAATCATACAATATATTTCCATACTGCAATACTATTTAAGATGTTTAAAGACAAGTTAAGCAAAAAGAATCAGGGACTTCATATTAAAACTGGAGATCACTGGGGTTGTCTGTTTTTGGAGTGCATTTATTACTCACGTCATTCATATCAAAGATAATGAAGCAGTTTGTAGTGATTGTTTCTTTTTAAAAAAATAATAAATGATGTTTATGTAGGCTGTACTCATAACTTCAAATTACTATAAATATTTTGATATTCGATAAGCTTCATTTCCATATTTCATACAGCATAATCATTGCTACAATTTCTTCTACCACTCCATAGACAAATTGTACAACATGAGGCTTATCATAAATTCTAGGTTCGTTCAATAGGTTCTCTTGATAAACTTTTGTAAAGCGAACACAACAATATATTGTAAAATTAAATGATTTCATTTCATTTTGTGTTTTCTAAATCATCATTTGTACCAATAAATGAAAGGTTTTACAATTTCGAGTTTATGCGTAATATTTAAAAATTCATTTAGTTCACTAGTGAAAAGGAATAATTCTACAAAAAAGAATGAGACGATGACTTCTTCGGATATAAGAAACGTGTACAACTTATGACTGGAGTAGGCAGTGATAGCAATAACCAAAAAAAGAAGTACGGTAATTATGATAATGGTAATGATAATATTAGTAATGATAATAATAATAATAACTGACGAGGACTTGAGAAGACAGGATTAGCCAAATGCTTAAATGGATAAGGTGTCAAATATTTTATTGGATAATGTCAAAATACGAATTTTAAGCGAAGGGATCTCTTTTCAACGAATTTATTATCAAGCTGTACAATCGTATATATATGAAAAAATTTTTTGATTTTGTAAAAGTACTAATTCCGTGAGGAAATGTGAACACAGTTAATAAAAAGGTTATAATACTAGATTACGTAATATGAATAATAACAATAACAATAGATTTAGTGATTATAATAATTAAAATGATTAAAATGTTTTTGTTATAATAATAATTAAATGTCATAGAGGTGTAAAAATAAATAAATATGGTGATATGATGAGTATTCACTAATAAAACAATGAGGATACAAGACATAAGTAAAGGGGGGGAATGCAGTAATAATAATAATAGGATATCAGAACGGGTTTTGTGGAGATTTTAGAAATTTCACATGATTTCAATCTGTGAAATAATAGGATAATTAAAATAATTAAGGCCAAGGTAACGTAGATCTAGGTTTGCCTACTGAACACTTGAAAGAGCTATTGTTACGCTGTACTTTCAATGTCCAGTTTAGTTTCAATAATGAAATATATAGACAGAGGGATGGGATCGCAATGGGGTTTCCACTGGGTCCGATTTTAGCAGATTGTTTCATGACAAAACTAGAAAATGACCAACTAAGCTCAATGATCAATCAATTTCACCTATACGTCAGATATATGGACGACACGTTTATCGTTTGTGACAATAATATTGATTTAGATTATATTCTATACACCTTTAACTCATGCCACCCTTCCACAGACTTCACGTTAGCAAAGGAACGAGACCAATCAATTCCTTTTCTCGATGTACGTCTGATGAGAAGGAGTAATGGTTCTTTAAAAAGATCCATCTTTAGAAAACAAACATGGAATGGACAACTAACCAACTTCTATAGCTGGGTCCCGTTAAGTAGAAAGAGAAACCCCATCCACTCTTTATGTTATCGAATACATCAGATATACAGTAAGGAATGCATTAATGAAGAACTCGAATTCCTCAAGAAAACCCTGGCGGAAAATGGTTACCCAGAACGGTTCATAGAAAAGAATATGAATAGAAGTAGTTCTGACAAGAAACCTAGTTGATCCGTTACGAAGAAAAACCTTTATATAAGTCTGGAATTTAAAGGTGATCGAACATCAGACGTAATCAAAAATCGTCTAACAACGACTATTAGAAGAACATTTAATACAGCTAAATTGCGAATAACCTTCATGAGTAAGAACTTATTTTCTGTGTCCATAAAAAACAAGCTTCCGCGTCTGGTCGCCTCTGTGTGCATCTACCAGTTCACCTGCTCTTGTGGAGCAAGGTACATTGGCCGTAGCCAGTGCTCGCTTTCAACTCGGATATGGGAACATATTCCAGCTTGGTTCTATAAGGGGGAAAGGAAAGTAGTTAGGAGTTCTATACTTGAACATCTGATCGACTGTAACCATTCTACAGATCCAAAAAATAAATTTAAGGTTGTTTATACGATTCGTTCAAATCTACCCAGATTTCTTCGCATCCAACTTTTAAAAATAGCCGAAGCTCTTACCATCCAGGAGCTTAAACCAGAACTATGTGTACAAACGAAGTACGTCTTGTCGTTATCGTTACCTTGGCCTTAATTATTTTGATTATCCAATTATTATTATTATTATTATTATTATTATTATTATTATTATTATTATTATTACTGCATTCCCCCCTTACTTATGTCTTATATTCTCATTGTTTTGTTCGTGCATACTCATCATATCACTTTATTTATTTTTACACCTATATGACCTTTAATTATTATAACAAAAACATTTTATCAGAAGGGGTTTGTGGAGATTTTAGAAATTTTCACAGATTGAAATCATGAGTCAGTTGAAGCTAGACCACCATGGAAAACCTGGAAGCACTGAATGGCCGTTTCTTCCTATTGTGGGACTCCTCAGCAATGCGCATCCACGACCTGGCCCTCTGCGTGACTCGAACTCAGGACCTACTGGCTTCGCGCGCGAGCACTCAACCACTAGACCACTGAGCCGGTTGGCATCCAACGGTGTTAATGTCTAACTTCAACTAATCCACGAAATTGAGCGACACATCCACCATTGTCTTCAGTGAGTTGTTATCTCACAACAGACATGGTTGAACTCAACTGGTCACTACTTCTCACTAGGATTCCAGGATATACCTCTTGAAGCCAGTCACTAGTGCTTCCAGGTTTTCCATGGTGGTCTAGCTTCAACTGGCACATGATCTTAACTATTAAAATGACTATAATATCCACAAAACCCATCTGATATTAATAATTTAGTAGTTGAATTCACGATTCAATTGAAGCTAGCCCACCATGGAAATATGACTTTTTCTAACGATTTTTTTTAGTATTTTAGACTTATCCTGTTAAATTTCACCGAAAATTATTGCCTGTTATTAACGACCTATAACAACAACCAAATGACCATATAAACAAAGTAGATTGGACAAAGGGATGAATTAAATATTATCGATTTATTAAAGCTTTCGAAAGTCACTAAAAAGCGTACATTGTCTATCTTCTTTTGTATATCACTACAAAATTATTGTCATAATATAAGTGTCAATTTCACCATAAACATAATGAGTCATTATTAGTGGGATATACTTTATTTCTGTTTTTAAGTGTAAAATTATTCAGTAGTGTTTTCAATAAAGATATCGTATTTGTCCGTTGTTTTTTTTTATTTTTAATTTGAAGTATTTATGTATATGTAGCTCATAAAACTTTAAATTCTACCCTTTTATATCGTTTTCTTGACCTGCAATGTTGAATTATCAGCAAAAAATGGCAGGGGTATTACTAGACAATTTGGAAAATTTACGTGATTAATAAACATATACGGATCTTCTATAGGTTCCTCCTACATAAATATTGGTTACTAGTAGGTAATAACGACTACATATTGCACAAATATCACAGTTTTTATTTCAAGAGTACAGAATACACTTATATGAATTAGATCGTCAGAACAATTTCTAACTGTTTAAGTTGTCACTTAAGCCCAAAAGTAAATATAGAGAGTGCAGAAAATAAAATTTTCAAAACTTGTTTGAAATTACAAACGTACTGATTACCAAAAGTAGTAAGTACTGTTATGCTATTCCGTTTCTATAAATGCTGTAATAAAGGTTCGGTACTAACGATGGTACTGCCGTAAGAATGACACTAGTAACAGGTTGAACTCAGGCACCAAATGATGGGTGTTAATATTTACATAGGACATATAATTTCATTCCAACTTACAGTTAATCTTCACCAGTAAGTGTCAAAAGCAAGGCATCTAAGTATAGAGTTTCTTAACCATTGGCTTCATTCATTTAATATCATATACAATACACAGGGCTATCGAGCGTTTTATATTAATCTGAAACTGAACATTATGATCGAGGCAAATAGTTTATCATTAGCTTTGTAGACTGATGTTATTTGCTGATATCATTTGATAAGTTGTATTTTTATCTTTCTCTGTCTTTTTTTACACAGATATTTGCTGTAATTTCAATAGCATTCATCATATTATCAATAATTGGATTGAATTTAAGTACAATACCTGAACTGCGTGGAAATTCGTCTGGAATTAATCATGATAATCATACCACAAGTAATGCAGATTATGTAAACGTACATTTAGAAACGTTAGAATCAATTTGTACAATATGGTTTACAGTTGAATATGCATTACGCTTATCAGTTGCGCCAAATAAATGTACATTTATTAAAAGTCCAATGAATCTTATCGATCTTATTGCTATACTACCCTATTATTTTTCTGTAATTTTTGAAGTATGGCTTCATTCACCATTAGATTCACTTGTATCTATGCGTAAAATTGTGCAAATGTTTCGTATTCTGCGTATATTACGTGTTTTTAAATTAGCACGTCATTCACAAGGTCTACAAGCACTTGGTTATACATTAAAGCAATCTTATAAGGAATTAGGTTTATTAATGCTATTTGTTGTACTTGTTGTTCTATTATTTTCAAGCTTAGCTTATTTCGCTGAAAAAGATGATAATAAGAATGAATTCCAAAGCATACCGGCCACATTTTGGTGGGCTATCATTACTATGACAACAGTTGGTTATGGTGATATCACACCAAAAACAGTATTGGGCAAAGTCATCGGTTCAGTATGTTGTATATGCGGTGTGCTTGTTGTCGGTCTGCCAATACCAATTATTGTTAATAACTTCGCTGCATTTTATCATGATCAAATGAGACGTGAAAAAGTTTTAAAACGACAAGAAGCTCATAATGAAGGTTGTCAGTTGGGAGACACGAATTTTCTGAAGAAGTCAAACATAAGTCACAAAGCGTTATACAATAAAAGAAGTTTCAATATTATTAGAGATCGTTATTCATTAGGTTCACTAAAATCAGAAAATGCTATTGAGCGTGATTGTCGCAGCAATTATAATAGTTGTTGTGATAAATTGACAAGTGAGAAGGAAAGGAACTTTATAAACAAAGAAATAGGAATCATTAATCCTAGTGATAATTTGATTAGATATAAACAAGTTAGTCTGAGTGTAAATGATGTCGATAGTATGGCTTGTGGTGAATATTATTCATGACATTTATATTTCCACAAATATAAATCGGTAGTATGTTTGAAAATGGGACTGTATCATACAAATAAGATCAGCTTGATCTTTTTTTGCTCCATCTCTTTGTCTGTCTGTCAAACGGTTTTTTTCATTCATTTTTCCTTAATCATTATTTGCACTTCAGTCAACTCATGTTATCGACTATTCACACCAACAGATAAATACTGAATTTTTTTCCTTTATGTTCTTACAATTTTTCCTACAACTATTTGTACGAATTATCAGAATTTTCGGAGTCTGATAAAACAGATTGTTTATGAGTATAAACGACGTCATTTATTTCATTAAATATAATTATTTTACATAGAAATAAAGAGAATTCAACGAAAAAAATTTCTTTTTGACATTCATATTTATATTTGTATGGTAAATATATATCCATAGAATGATAGAGAAGATTGCATCATAAAGTCATTCGAGACTCTAATTATCAAACGAGGTTGCGTAGTGATCAGGAGGTTAGAAAAGAATAGAAGGATGAAAATAATTTACGGGTTAGAATTATCAAAGATAATTGTCCGCATGATAGATATGAAGAAAAATGGAAAAAGTAAAGGTTATGATAATAACTGGATGATAATCATGGGAAATTGCTAAGGGATAATAGTAACTGATTACGGTTTAAAATTACAAAATACTAATTAAGAAAAAAACCGAAACACTACATAAGGGAATTCGGGCCAAGGAAAAATGAGAGGTTTGACGTATCATTTTCACACTCTGAGTTCGGGTTTGAATCGGTGGATCGCCAGCGACTCAGCAGTGCATAGGTTTTTTATTCGACCTCCCTTCGATCCAGTTCCTTTGACTGTGTAGATTATTCTGGACGAGGACTCCGGAACGACGCGTCCGGAGTTGATTAGATGCTCCTGTATCGAAATGGTAACTTTTTCATTCTCCTTTTAAAAGCCACACCGGGTAATGTTCTGAGATGCGTTTGGAAAGTGATCGCTTCGTGTGGCCAATGCAATCTTCCCCAAAGAAGCAAGTAAATTTGTAAATGCACATCGATGTGGCCCAAAGCGAAAGTTTATCATTAACATCCATGAATGGTAGGCCGGCTTGAGGAGGCAATGCGAAGTTTGGCTGAGTAGAGGGTTTTATTCAGAGATTTTGAGGTCCGTTTGTTCGAGATTTCAGCAGCCGTATCTCTTTTAAGTCCGGTATTCATAAAAAGAGTTTTCATTTGGATCGTTGTTGCATTTTCAGGATTACGTCTTGTTGTTAAGTTCCTGTAAACAAATCTAGTTAGGTAACTATTTCTGATGAGTATCTGTCGAAGTTAAGGTAGTTATTCATCCAGGGTGTCATTAGAACATATTCGCCTGGTCCATGAGGATAAAGAGTGAATTGTCTCTCTTTCTACTCAATGGGACTCAGGTATGGAAATTCGTATACTGAACATTTCAGATCGGTTTCCTATATATGAATCTCTATAAAGAACCATCTGACCTTATTTTCAACTAGACATGAAGAAAATGAGATTCCTCGTTCTCCTTTGCTTCTAATGTGGTTTAAATTGAGTACAGACAATTAGTGAATCAATGCAAAATTTTACTGGAATCCATGCATTCACAAATAGTGAAAGTATCATCCATATATCTCTTATATAAATGAAATCTCTCAATTATCAGTCGAAGCGCTGTATTTTCCAGATTGACCATAAAACAATCGGCCACAGGTTTGAGTATTTTTAAAAATTTTACTAACGATTGTGAAAATAATACTTACTTGAAATTTACAATGTGCATGATACTTAAGTAACAGTTACTTTTCAGCTTGTTTTGTTCACTAACCATATTTCATAATAACGACACAGTAATGTAAAGATCTGGTGGCTCATGTAAACATTAATGGAAAACGTTTTTCTCACAGTTTTATGGAAACTAAGTTTTTTTATTACTCTAACAATAATGTTAATAACAGTCTCTGCCTTTTCCAATTCTGTTTATTTAATAATACTATTTACAACTTAAGCAGGTTCAAACAGTATTTAACATGAAGTGAGATAATTAAAATAAACAATAAGTTTAACTTCCGATTACTTACTTACTTACTTACTTACTTACTTACTTACTTACTTACTTACTTACTTACTTACTTACTTACTTACTTACTTACTTACTTACTTACTTACTTACTTACTTACTTACTTACTTACTTACTTACTTACTTACTTACTTACTTACTTACTTACTTACTTACTTACTTACTTACTTACTTACTTACTTACTTACTTACTTACTTACTTACTTACTTACTTACTTACTTACTTACTTACTTACTTACTTACTTACTTACTTACTTACTTACTTACTTACTTACTTACTTACTTACTTACTTACTTACTTACTTACTTACTTACTTACTTACTTACTTACTTACTTACTTACTTACTTACTTACTTACTTACTTACTTACTTACTTACTTACTTACTTACTTACTTACTTACTTACTTACTTACTTACTTACTTACTTACTTACTTACTTACTTACTTACTTACTTACTTACTTACTTACTTACTTACTTACTTACTTACTTACTTACTTACTTACTTACTTACTTACTTACTTACTTACTTACTTACTTACTTACTTACTTACTTACTTACTTACTTACTTACTTACTTACTTACTTACTTACTTACTTACTTACTTACTTACTTACTTACTTACTTACTTACTTACTTACTTACTTACTTACTTACTTACTTACTTACTTACTTACTTACTTACTTACTTACTTACTTACTTACTTACTTACTTACTTACTTACTTACTTACTTACTTACTTACTTACTTACTTACTTACTTACTTACTTACTTACTTACTTACTTACTTACTTACTTACTTACTTACTTACTTACTTACTTACTTACTTACTTACTTACTTACTTACTTACTTACTTACTTACTTACTTACTTACTTACTTACTTACTTACTTACTTACTTACTTACTTACTTACTTACTTACTTACTGACGCCTGTTACTCCCAATGGAGCATAGGCCACCGACCAGCATTCTTCAACCCACTCTATCCTGGGCCTTCTTTTCTAGTTCCATCCAATTCTTGTTCATTTTTCTCATGTCTATTTCCATTTCCCGGCGTAATGTGTTCTTTGGTCTTCCACTTTTCCTTTGGCCTTGAGGATTCCATGTGAGGGCTTGTCTTGTGACGCAGTTGGGTGCTTTCCTCAATGTGTGTCCTATCCACTTCCAGCGCTTCTTCCGGATTTCTTCCTCCGCTGGGATCTGGTTTGTTCTCTCCCACAGTACGTTGTTGCTAATAGTGTCCGGCCAACGGATCCGAAGTATTTTGTTTAGACAACTGTTAATAAACACCTGTATTTTCTGGACGATGGCTTTCGTAGTTCTCCAGGTTTCTGCCCCATACAGTAGAACTGTCTTGACATTTGTATTGAAAATCCTGACCTTGGTGTTGGTTGACAGTTGCTTTGAGTTCCAGACGTTCCTCAGTTGTAAATATGCTGATCTTGCTTTGCCGATCCGCGCCTTCACATCTGCATCAGATCCATCCTGTTCATCAAGAGTGATATTATTTTTATAGTAGGAATGTGATAAGCAAACAAACATACCGCTAACTATTTTATGATGAAATAAATCAAAAATTTAATGTTTTTTTCAACAGTGGACGGCATTCCACAGAAGTAAAAGTTTATTAAGTTCCCAGTAAACCATGTTTGTCCACTGTTATTTTGATCCATCTAAGAATTCTTCATAACTCTTTGCACTGTTATTATCAACTGAGTGACTGAGTTAGTTTATGAGGATTAAGTGGTAGTTTCAAGCAACTTGTTTCTCTTAATTCAATGATAGTCATCAATTAACTCACAGATATAAAATGTTCAAAAATTTTAAATAAGAATGTAGCAGCTGACTAGTTTTAGTACTTCGTGAATAAGTTTATTCTGTATGTACATACATCACATGATCTATATATATATATATATATATATATATATGCATTCTTTTCAACTTATACGGCATGCTGATACACGTTGCTTGATCCTACCACAATGTCTTGTTTGTTTATTTTGTGCATCATGTCATGTGGATAATTTCAGTATTAAGTCGATTGCTTTGTATACACTGAATTATTTAGTGCAGCTGTTTCTATTCACGGTTGGAGTACAGAATTTACGAACTATTCTAATGACATCAATACTACTACTACTACTTCATCTTGAATACAGTTCGTCAGATATGCTGAAATTGACTGTTTTTGAATCGAACATCATTTAAGACAATTTGTGATGATTAATTGAATACATTGATATAGAGATTAACACTACCCTGCATTCAACCATTTCAAATCGAGCATTTCTGAGATAAAAAGTAAACAGAACTGATTTTTGTACTATTCTTCAATGTTATCCTTAGATAACAGAGTGAATTAGTTTAATGTATATGATGTAAGCTTGATTTACAATCAACAGAACATCCTAAATCCACAAAGAACTAACAGCATTCCATATTCCTTACCTACAACCTGTATGATCATTAAACTGATTTGGAAAAATTTTGTTTATATCTTTGTATACATTTCAATCTAGTTTTAAGTCTATCCTACCACAACTAGCTGGTTTCTTAATGTAAATTACTGTCGTTCTAAACAGCTGAAAATGTCAGCTTTTCTTCTTAAAAGCTGGAATAGTTTTTTTTTGGTGATAAATATCAACTTCAGCTACTTTATTGTTTTATAAAAAGGCACATTTGAATAAATAGTAAAAATCGCATTCCATGATACTTTTTATCACATATTTTCATAAAACTGTATGATTAATGTGAAAAGTAGTCGTTAGTTATTTGTCTATAATACATAAGCATGCAGCGTAGGAAGTTGTTGTTTTGTTATAGAAAATTTCGATAATCAATAAGACTATCCTGGGAATATACAATTACTGACAGGCAAACAAAATGCAAAGTGATGTATTAGATTATTGGAATCCAACATCCCATTAGACTAGTATTATATTTTTCTAGGTACTTGTTAGAAAAATAAAATAATTATATTTATGAATTTCCTGTTCAGCTTAGAAAGCTTTCATTTGGTGTTTTGAATAATATTCTAATTTGAATTCATCGAAATGTACGCTACAATATAGTTTAATTTAAAATAATTTTTGATATAAGGGATTCAAAAAAATCAAACAATACCTAAAGAAAAATAACTGTGAATATACACAAAATTAGTATCAACAGGGCACAATAAACCCAATCAGATGTTTGGATCATTTCAATTTCGTCATTTATTGTAATGACAGATGAAAATCTACCCTACCCTTCATTGCTGATTCATTATGGT